CAGGGTTGTATGGAGACTGTTAAAAGAAGAAATAGAAACAGAAAAAAAGAAGGCTTAATGTATACTGAGCAAAAAATGTGCAGCAATCAGTCCCTAGTCATTTAAGAGAAAGTGCACTGCAAAGGACCTAAACTATAGACAACACACTAAAACACAGCACTAAATAATTTTGGGTGTAGCTGGGAGAAAGTGTTTTCAATCAGGGTTTATGTACTGTGCAAAGATAATTGGTACCCCCAAGGACTGCAAATCCTGTGTTCCTTTATTTTTCATCTAGTGTGCAGTGGAGCTAAGCAGAGGTGGGTTTAAGCAGATCTGCGTACTCTTCTTCATCGTGCTGCTGGTGCGATGGTGATAATTTAAGTTTGTGTTGGCTGACAAAACTATTTATAGAAAGGCTGGTGACTGACTAGAGCTGCTTTAGGGTGAGGCAGTGGGCCATTAGTTTATCACAGTAAATAGGAAGAACTGGATTCCTTGCAAGCACTGTCACATTCTTCCAGAGAAGCTGAGCCACAGAGTCTACATGCTTTAAAGTGACAGCAGCAAGGCAGCAGCAGTGTCACTGTCTGATGTTGTTTATGTCTTTCTGATTAATAGACTGACCTTTCACAAAGTTACCTGTATACATCTAGGTGTTTTTCAAAATGAAAAGAGGAATCACCTGGATGCAGTACCTAACTAAAAAGCGACAAGCGTGTGAATCGTCTCATAATGCTCAACTCTGAATTATTTCTGCTTTACCCTTGTAAATTCTGTCATAGCCTCACCCAATCTCCATCAAACGGGTTAGGATTTTACTGTAGTTACAGACAGAGAAAAAAACGTCCTTGCTGGATTTCTACCCAATATTTATCCCATGCCTAAACCCAACCGTCTCAAATATAAAATCGGTCACAGTATGTCTACTGTGATCATGGCATATATGGATTCTTACACACATGCATATCTCGATTTTTGCTTTTTGTTTTCCTTCCTGTCATACAAATAGAGTACTGACCGAAGTGTCAAACGATGCGATCCACATAAGGTATGCCCTTAATCTCGCCTCACCCACCAGCTTTTTAAACCTTTTGTTTGTGTTGGGCAGCCAATTAGAATACAGCTTGCTTAAAGGGGATGGAGCTAAAACTGCTTTCAAACAAAAGGTGAATTGAGAAGCTGAACTAAGGTTCGCCATAAGATAAATCCTGTCAAATAATGCATCTACTCTACAGATGGAGCTGGAAATTAGGACAATACATCCACTTTAACAAGCCCCCAACCCCAATCAAATACTTTATAGAACTGCTTTTTATACTGCTTACTTGACCAGTGGGACAAAATGCCAAATAACTAATATTTAAGCTTCTAAACATAATTATCAGTATAAAACTGTGAATTAATCCAACATAACTTAATAATACTCTCATAATAAGGTTGAGTTTGTGTTCTAATTCTCTCACAAAGTCTTACAGGTCAAGTAAACATTCTTTCTAAGTACGCATAAGCCCTATAGGAGACTGGAAAAATCAACAGACTGGACTGTTTATCTCCCTTTTGCCAGATCCATGCTGAGGTTGCTAACTTTGAAACCCTTGTCAAGATTAAGCAGGTACTGTGTTTAGAAAACAGTGGATGGATGTTTTCCTATAGGCAGCAGTGCACAAAAACTGCTCTCTTAGATTTTGTGGCGGTGTTCATCATGTAATCATGTGAATTTCATTAAAAGAAGACACTCATGCACACATGACTTAGCGCTGCATTAGAAATGTTGTGAAATTAGAGAAGTGACAAACATGAAAATGAAGGCTGACGTAAGAAAGAAGAACAAAAGAACAAAGGGTAGGTGTAGGCAACATGACCAAAACTAATACAGGGTGTCTACAGGTACAAAAAAATAAATAAATACAATTTAACACACATCAAATGTGGAAATATAGTTGTTCTATGTAGACACACTGAACCCGTTTCACAATGAACAACATGAAAATGCAGAGAGGATGACGGCGGTCACAGTGACAAACTCACCCCTCCGCCTGCCTCCCAGCCCTTAGGGTAGCGATATGGGGAAGCTGTGGGTACTGATACCTGAGAGAGCGCCGGGGAATGGGCATGACCAGGCGGGGTGCCCGGCAAATTAGTGTGTCCCTTTGTGATGTCGTGAGCAGGGTAAGAAGGACCATGCCTGGACACCTGTATGAAACGAAGCAGTAAAATTAAAGATTTAAACAAAATGATATATTATTCCAGGCTGGTGCAGAGGAGGAACAGCAGTGGCGGGGCTCCACAGGTCATTAGTCCTCCCTCCTGCTGAGGGATGTAAATTAAGCGCTCAAGCAGCAGGATTAGCCCCTGTATTTATGCAGAGAGGTGAAGACCTTCAACATGCATGGCTGCTGAAGGCTGCTGCACTTTGCTAAAAACTCGACTGCGGCCTCTTCTGTAGCCTGCTGTGCAAGTATGTCTGGGCCTCATATGGCAAAACTGGGTCAAATAATCTGTGATAGATAGAGAATATTCTGTGCAACAGATAGAAGTGAGTCATGTCAAACAGGCTTGAGCCACAGGGAAGGGTTCAGGGTGGGTACCGGCCGTGAGCAGTATCAGACAAAGCTGAGATTTTTTATTCAGCTCTCTGTGGTGTGGCAGGATGGGCCTTGGCAGCTGTAGCTATGGGCTGGCCCCACTGCAGGTGCTGCTTGTTGCTGCAGCAGGCCTGAAAACACCAGGGAATGAGACAGGATACTGCAGGAAGAAATCAGTAAGCAGACAAGGAGGGGAAATGGAAAGCTAGGCAAGCCTCCCTCTTCTCTTTTTTT